GTTCTTACTTTTTCATTATTTTTTTTTTTTTTTTAGATATCACAAATGTGGAAAATTACCTAGTTGTATTGGCTGATGGATTTAGATATCCCGGGAACACAGGTGTCGAAGAATATGCAAACGATGGTTGTGGTCCAAAAATATTGTATGGGTATGGACCATTACTAACCATCGATTTACATTAATATTACTGTATTGAAAATGTAATGCTTTTTCTAAAAATTTTCCTGAAACAAACACATTTTGAAAAATTTCAAAAAATTGGACAAATGGAAGTTTTATAATTTAAAAGTGAAATAACTCGTTTCTCTATTTTAAAATTCATTCTAGAATTCATTAATTGAGAATAACATAAGAAATACGAATCAGTAAACATTTCACTATTTACCAATGAAGAAATGCGTCTTAAAGTTGAAAATAGAAAGAGGGAAAAAAAAAAGCAAAAAATTTATGTTATTTTTAAGAATATTTTTGTTTTAAAAATAAAAATAAATAAAATCGTGATAGATCTTATGAGATAACCTCTGATCTATGCTTTTTTTTTTTTTATGAATAATTCTTAAGCTAAAATAATTTTTTTGATTCATCGAATCCTACAATCAAAGCAGACACGCCCAGGACAAAATGATTGAGTGGGGCGCGTTTGTCGACCACGCCCAAAGGTATATCGTACGACACCGTATGACAATGTACGACATCTAAGGATGAAGCTTTGGAGTAATTTAATATTCATATAAAGTCATCAGGCTTCTAAATGATAGGTAATAGATGTTGGTCACAAAATTTAAATGAAATTTAAATGAAATGCCAAGGTTCCAGGATCAATAAATGAATTCTCACGGAATGATAAAAAAGAAAGTATATTTTGAAGTGAAATATCACATATTATCAATTATTTTAAAAAGTACGCATTTTTAGAAATAATTTTGAATTTCACCACTTTCTTAGGATATAATAAAGAAAAATGAAGTAAATTAAATGAGAAAAAAACCTGGTATTATCAAATTGTATAATTTGGAGTACTAATTAAGAGTTAATGGAAAAAGATAATTTACAGTTGCTTAAAGAAATTACACTATTTTTTTTTCTTTTCTTTTAATTCAAATAAAAGCTAAAAAAGAGACAAAATATTAACAATTTAACAGTTTGACAAGAAATTGCTAACTGTGATTTTTTTTTTTCCAATTAATCAATTTTTTGGTATCGAAATTGTATTATTTTGTAAAAAAATGTATATTTTTTTATTGTAAATTTTTTTTTTTTTTGTAATTAAAGAAAAAACATTTTGTGATTGTATAGAATTATGTCGGTTTCATTACATTTACCTTACAATCAATTATAAATTTATTTACGAATCATCATTACTTACGTAATACAGTAAATAAGGCTTATCTGATACGATGGTGATTGATGGTATAACGAAAAGGAGATTAATACCTTAGTAGAATGACAGTAGGTACTAAGGTACTACTTATTAAATTTCTCTAACGAAATAGCTGTTAGTAGTAGATGATTACTGGTTTTTTTTCACCTGTAACGAAACAATGGTTGTAGTAAGGTACCCCTGCGGTGCATATCAGCGGCATTCATATCCGTTTACACGTCACTGAACGACGAATTGACCTTTGTTTATGGTAAGATTTTGAGTGGATAATACTATCCGGAAAATATAACTTTTATAAATTTACTTTGGTATTGTAGTTTGAAATGATGACCAGAAGAACATTGTTAATAGTTGTAAATATTTTCCAAATTTGGCATTTTGTTAAATCCATTTTCCATTCTTTTAGCTATACCGAAGATAAATGAATACATTTTCAAACTAATTTTAAGCTTGAAATAACGTTTACATTAAGTTAAAGTATTGTGAATTTATTTCAAATGTTCACATTTAGAAAAAAAAAGCTAAGAATTTAAATATGCAATGGGAAAAGAAAAGAGAAGAGATACGAGAATATATTAATGGAAAAAAGTGAAATGTTTTGAAGTCAAAAGAAAATACAAAATATACATGGCCGATTAAATTGATTATCCGGAATTAGAGCTATGTAAAAAAAAAAAAAAGTCTTAAACTATTTTTGAAATTGTAAATCTGATTGAATCCCATAAAAAAAATATATCATCCACCCGCTTAAGTAATCATTAAGCAATTGTCTTTTCATGAATTTCACTTGTCAAAGTTAGTATCAATGTGTCAGACACGTTATCATTATTTCTGATCATATCAAAGTAACATTCCTGAGTGACATGAAGAGGTAAATTAATGGATAATCCGACTGCAGCAAAATTAGGGAACTCTTAATTGGTCGAACAATTTGCACTAGTATCTATAAAAGGTGCAAGTTGATTGAGGTAGGAATGTCTTTGATGTTAGCATATGGCATAAATGCAGGTGTGATAACCTCTTCGAATCATACAGGTAGAGAGAGAAGGTAATTTTGAGAATAAAATGATTCGCTATCGATATCGCTGATCTGAGAGCGATGAATGGATGCGCCTCTAATCGAAAATTGATAATTGCTCACACCTTTTTAGCAGTCATTGTCAACGTGACGCTTTTTGACAAATGACAAATATTTCACCTAAAACATAAAAGGTTTTGCGACTTTGAAATTTCAAAAGAACATTGTGATGATGCTAATTGTTGCATAAGGGAACGTAAAGTTAAATACGGTTGAATTATCCGGATGATAGTTTGACAATTAATTTGTAATAATTGAAAATCTCTGAGATTATTGATAGATTTTGAAAGCTACTGAAAATATGCATTATAATACATTTTGAAACTTTTAAAAAGAAAACTTTATAAATTCTCGAATTTAAAACAAAATTTAGTTCTGTACAAAATTCTGATTTCATTTAGCACTGTAATATTCTGCTCCAGCTAAAATGTGTTAATGAAGAGCTGTATTGAAGAGGAGAGAAGGAAATGAAATGGAAAAATATCTTTGATGGCTAACAATTTTCAGATTATCCCGTTCCATCTCAAATTTCATGACCTCGAAAAATGGCTGCAGGTGGTACTCGTTATGAATTCGTTATGCAAGTCCGGTTACTGCTATAGACGACACCGTACTTTTCAATGCAAATTATTAGGTTGGTGGAAAGTAAAAAGATATATGAAATAGAAATCGAAGGATGAATTGAGAGCGCTGTGATGATAGAAATCGATAACTAAATCTTTGGCATAGAAATAATACTCAAATATCATTTATTCAACGATTTCAGATAATCATCAGAAATTTAAGTTTGGGGAACACATTAGAATACAAAAATATAGCAATCAATTTAAATACAAATGCTACTTTGCTAATTTCATACTAATTTTAATTTTTTAAAATTAAATTTTAACTGAGCTTTACCAACCAGTATATATCATATTGCTCTTCACACTGATGGAATCCTATTTGAAGAAGAAAAAAAGTTTTGTAGTTGAATTAATAAATCACATAATTTCAAAATTGGAATATAATTTGCTATTCTGTGATTAAAACTTAGAATTTGAAATACTATTTATTAATTATAGAAGGAAATGTTCAATAAATTTTATAATTGAGTATAGAGATATTTCATCAATTATGATTAAATAATTGTAAATCATGCATTAGTTATCTAAATTGAATATGAAATATAAAATATAAAGAAGAAATGAGTGGAATATTTACACGGATGAAAGCATTAAACCAAATGAAAGAGTATTTTGAAGTGATTGTGACTGGCGTCACTCTGATGAAAAGCAATATGGAAAATGTCTTTTACCTTTAGACATCTTTAAACAAAGAAGCGAAATGACCGCATATTAAGTAATCCTGAGTGACGAGTGAATCAATTAGAAAAGTAATTCTCAGACTTGAAAAAAGAAATAATAATTTAATGTAAGACTAGCCGTCGCCTTAATTAGATTATCCATAATTAATCGCTGTGTGAAGTTGCCGATTACTGTAATGCACTCTGTGAAGTAATTTTCATTTTTGGAAATTTTTGGAATGATCAGATGGAGTGAATAATCAGTGGCGTCAACATATGACCTCATTAACATTAATTAAACTAAAATAACTGTCATTCTAAATTGCGGGCATTCATTCTAACTTTGTCTGCAAATGTGATTTTTGATTTTCCGAAGATTGATTTTTCTGCTTATTATAACCTTTTTGTCAAAGCAATATCTCATGATGATATTTTTATACTTTTATTTTTTATTTTACTTAACGCTTTATACGCTATGACTTAAAACACTTCTAAAATTATTTGATATGAATAACATTTGAAATAAAATAGACTGTAACAGTAGACTAATGTTGATTGATAGTTTCGTTAAAATATAAACAATCACAATTAAAAATGCGTGAATAATAAAGGTATACAAATTGACATAAGGATTACTTCCGGAATTTGATGCAACGGCTACGATAGCAGAACCGATTCCCGAGGATAATGTACAGGAAATATGGCGTAATATTTTTATTTTATATCAGATCTCATGTAACTTCCCTTTTTCTACTTTCACTAAACATAACTAACCAATGATTCATGAAGTAGTAAAGTAAACATTGTATTTTGACTAGATCCTGAAAGTAAACAAATCTTCCTTCCGATTTTCCTGAACTGTTTTTTGCTTTCTAAAAAATAATCAGGAAGAATTGGAATTTTTGAGCAGCATATTTTATGAAGTCAGGAAATTTTAGATGATTAAATGAAATAATGGATATCATAAGAAGAATTGATGTGAAGCAAAGAAAGAGAGAGAGAGAGAGAGAATAGAAAAGACGTTTCCAGAGAAAGGAACAATTGGTAAATAGCAGATAAAATTTGTGAAGTGAATTTCCTGAAAATGAGTTTTCAGGAAATTGATTTGTTACTTTCACTGATTTGAATCTTTATGAAATTTAATTTACATCCAATTAATGGTCTAACAACTTTTGTAATTTTAAGATTTTCTTGTTTGTAACCACAGTTATCGCTGACTTGACAACTATTAATTATTTAAGCACGACCCTAAAATGCGTGAGACTTCTGTGTTCTCTGTGCTATTGGAATCTAAAATGCGTGAGACTTCCGTGTTCTCTGTGCTATTGGAATCTAAAATGCGTAAGACTTCCGTGTTCTCTGTGCTATTGGAATCTAAAATGCGTGAGACTTCCGTGTTCTCTGTGCCATTGGAATCTAAAATGCGTGAGATTTCCGTGTTCTCTGTGCTACTGGAATCTAAAATGCGTGAGACTTCCGTGTTCTCTGTGCTATTGGAATCTAAAATGCGTGAGACTTCCGTGTTCTCTGTGCTATTGGAATCTAAAATGCGTAAGACTTCCGTGTTCTCTGTGCTATTGGAATCCAAAATGCATAAGACTTCCGTGTTCTCTGTGCTACTGGAATCTAAAATGCGTGAGACTTCCGTGTTCTCTGTGCTATTGGAATCTAAAATGCGTAAGACTTCCGTGTTCTCTGTGCTATTGGAATCTAAAATGCGTAAGACTTCCGTGTTCTCTGTGCTACTGGAATCTAAAACGCGTGAGACTTCCGTGTCTTCCATGCTACTGAAGTGATTTTTCTAAGATAAATTTACTAAAAGTTCGACGTGAAACCGGGGTTTTTCATAGTATCTTCGTTGTATCACTCATCGCTAGGGAATTAAACCTGAATCTCTGGAAATAAGCAAGTTGGTGTACCTGATATTTCGGGTTGGGTAAGTTGCGGGGAGTGATGAGGTAAAGTGAGGCAAGAAATTGTAGAGATACTAGGCTATTTTACTGATTATTTAAGTAGTATGTAATGTGGAGTAGTTGAAATGGATTAAAAGTTGCTCGGTTGGAACTATTTAAATATCATGTGTTTAAACATAATGCTTGCATTTAGTTTGGAATTTACCAACAATGTAAGTAAATGACATTAAATTTCAGTTTACATGTATCTTAATGGGAGTGATAAATGAGGACAAACAACAGACGGATGTAAGCTGGGTAACAAGCCTGGTAACCCGTGCTCATGCTGAAGGATTGTCATCAACTGAATTCGGTGCTGTCTTGAAAAAGCGCATAATAACATCTGGTTGCAATGAACAGCAATGCAGAGCCATCGCTTGTAAATTTTTAATACTTAAGTTTTAATTTGGAATTAGTTATGTCAAGAGTATACATATGGATGAATGTAAGCAAACAAACATTCATGAATGTGAGCGTTTGTGCTATAGTTGAACTGACACGAAATGCAAAGCAAAACGCAAAGTTTCTTAAAAATATTTAATATTAATATATCCGACAACACTGGTATTGTTTTAAATAAAATAGCGCAAGATGGCAAAGAGTAAGGAATTTTTGTAATTTATTGTATCTCATTTGTTGTCCACGACAAATTTAGCAATGCTTCTTCGTTTTGCTACGGCATCAGTGACACCTGATCAACGAATGCTTTCCTGTCTGGAAGCATTGGTGAAAGCAGAGGTATACTATTTTGTTTTTGATCTTTAAATCTTTTTCAGTTTTTCTGGCTATTTCAACAGGTCACTAAATTTGTTTCATTGCATGTTTTGACTTTTTTAGACCACTGAGATATTGTTAAATAAAATTCTTTTTCAGATCAAATTTATTTCATTTGCCTTTTTTTCAAAGTTTTCTAATTTCTAGGTACTTCGATGGGCTGTTTTCATTGAAGTGATCGCTGAGTTTCGGCAGTTTTCACGTGAATACTGCATTGAAGCTCTGGCAACGATTTTACGGAATTCAGTTCCATTACTGAAGTAATGTTTCAGATATTGCAATGTTATAAGCTTTCAATTTCTTCAATTTCTGATGTCCCAACGAAAATGTAGCAGTGCATTTCTAATTCTATGAATTAAGAATTATTTCCTAGGTGCAATTACACATCGGAGAAAGAATGTTTGGAATTGTCGGGATCATTGATGACTGTTCTAAATTGGTGCTTATTGGCTTTGGAATACTCCTTAAAAAAATGAAAATAAACGAAGCACTCAAGCGCTTATCCACTGTGCTTGTGCATATGCAAATAGCAAGTTTGTTCGTGCTCTGTTGTACATTCATGAACACATTGGCGCAGGTTAGTGCTGTGAATGATTTGATGAACTGAACTGTTTTTGGTTAATGGACTAAAGACATTTAAAATAACAAATTTCTAGTCAAAAAAAAAAAAAAATTTTCATTTATCTGTTCAGATGTTTAGAATATAGATGTCGTACTTTTTATTGGGATCACTTTAACTTCGGTCCTTTTAGTTGGGTCATTTTAATTTAGCTTATCTCATCTAACACTGAATCTAAATATCTGTTTTCAGAAAGTGTAAATTATGTAGTCGAAGCTGCCGTTTCATTTGCGCAAAGTTATCCTGATTGTGAGGAGTTGAAAACGATGATTGAAGCTTTGCAGCAATTTGGTGCATCACCAGCAGAACGAATTGAAGACAATCTTGGTGGCTTAGTCAAGCAGGTAGCGCACCTCTGACTTATTGAGGGTGTCATTTATTCATGGTGTGTTTACCATTGAGTCACATTTAAGTCACAATTACTAAGCGAGATATTATTTGGCCATTCAGTTTAGAAGTTGTTAATATGCTAGATAAGCTAGATAGTTAATCGATTGTTCATATCAAGGTTTCCAGAGAATTAATTTGTAGTCACACCCAGCAATCCTGACGTTGGTTTCGGTTTTCGAAGGATTCAGAATGACGAAAAAAGTAGATCAAATGGCGGATTTTTTTTTCGAACTTGCTGAAATTCTTGAATTTCCATTTCCAAAAATGTTCGAGGATATGATACGGGCATCCTTGCTAATAATGGTGCGGTTTGCATTTTTATTATTATTGTGGTTGATTTATGCAGTTGCACTAGGATGATATAATGCCTGTAATATATTAATATACATACAAATATGTAAACAATATAGAAATTTCAATTATTTTTCAGCTTGATGCTAAAGAATCATTAGGTGAAGAGCTTGTAGCATCACAAGCATTTTATTATGTGAAACTTCCACAGATTGTCAAACACCTGCTACTTCTTGGCGCTCCACTTGACGACTTGATCACTGCACTGGATACTATTTGTGATAATAAAACACTTTTGAATCAGGTAAATTCCAACTTATATTAAATGTTATAAATTACATTAGTTTTGTTGTAGGAAATTAGTTAATATGCAGAAAATTGGCGAGTAAATTATTGCTATTTGCTGCTCGTAATAATGCTGTAGTGCCAGATATTTTTGAAATCTCCCAACACAAAAAAAATTTGTGTATCCACTATAAAAAAATCGGTAGTTACAGTAATACTTTTCAGGTAGATATGAAAACGAAAACAAATACATTCCAACATCTACTAGAACAAATGGCAGCAGCAGGTGTTATCGATGAGAGCGTTTTGAAAAATTTGCTCGAAAAAAGGTATTTAAAATAAAAATGAAATACAACACATGAATATTATAAATTTTGTTGATTTTATTAACTTAACCTGTATCTTTATCTCTCATTTTTTGCTTAACTGTAACTACTTTTGAGCATTTTTTTTTTTTTTTTTTTTTTTCAAAACGCTATAGCTACAGCAGTGAGAAATTAAGAATTCCCATGATCGTGCTAAATGCTGTATGTCTGTAAAGCATACTTTATTAGTATATCAGTATCTTGGTGTAAACGGTAATCTCTGTTATTGTTATCGTCAGTCAGAAATTAACTATGGACAACTATATATGCTTGAGATTTGAAGTTTTCTTTGGAGAGAGATTTCAATCTTGAGTTGAGTCATGTCCATTCATCTTGGATTTTACAGATCTCAGTATTGGCCGGAGCTTTTCCAGATGCTTGCACAAACTTCCACCACACCTGTACATCAGCCACTTATATTGCGAGCAAATTCAGCTAAAATGGCTGTAGATAAGGTTTATTTTATGTTCTTATTTTTGTCTTTTTTATGGTGTAGTATAAAAAATTTGTTAGAGGAATTCAATTTCAGATATTGAGGCAACCTAATAATGCTGTAATAAATGTACTCTTGAAACTTGCCAGTGGTAGCGGAGGACTTTTTACATTTGATTCTGTTTGTGCATCATTTTGTGCCGATGGTAATTTGACCTATTTCAGTTCAAAACTTGCAATGTAAGTTCTATTCTTTTTATTTATTTTTTTTTTTCGGAGCTAGTTTTGCTCTCTACTTAGTTTTGATCATTATGGCCGTGCGCAGGACTGTGCTTTATTTAGCAATATTTTTTTTTATACAATCTCATTTGATTTTTTATAGGATAAACGGACAAAGTGAACGACCAGCAGAGGGTTTGGATATGGATGACGAACGTCAACGCGCTCTTGCTTTTAACCTTTCATTTATCTTACTAACCAGGATTCGATTCATATATGATGATCTGGTCAATAATTTCAATTTTGAATTATTTTTCCGAAAGAATTTGTGTTTTTTGATGATTGATGTGTTTGTTGTTAAAGTTATTGTAATAATTTAAAAGTAGTGCTACTTTTTTTATAGCGACCCAGCGAGCTGGTAAATGGGACTGTTCGTGGAATGGACAATACCCAGTCATGCTTCTATAAATTTGCATCACAGTACGGTTGGACAGCAGCTGATAGTTGCAGTCTATCAAATGCTTATACTAATGAACAAAAGGCAACATTTGTTGATCGCGTTAATATGTTGAAACGTGCACAACCGTTCTGGGATCCAAGAACGTGAGTTACATTTTAAATAAAGAGCCATGCAAAGTGCTTCAATTTTTAATTGTATAAATGCATTATGAATTGAAGTTTTAAACAAAAATTTAATATCAATTTACACTTCTTTATTTTACAGAGTGAATTATGCTGAATTGGTTGATTTTGTACCAGTTATTGGCGAGATTCTTTTGGACGACTTCAGGATGACGAAATTTGAAAATTATGAGCATCTTCATGAAAATATTAAGGTAACTACATTTGTTATAATTGGAGGATTTTGGATGTTTTAAATAAGTGAAGAGAGTAAATATACGTTTGTGATATGAACTGTGATCTATATCACTTTCATGCTGTAATTCTTGAGTTCAAAAAAAAAAAAAAAATTTCGATCTTAACACACCAAATTAACGACTAAATTTTAAAGCAAATATTCCAAATGTATATTTATTCGGTAATCATTTACATAATCAATTTAAGATCACATATAATCTTCTATCATTTTTGCTATGTAACTGAAAGAAATTGCAGAATGTACTGCACGCTTTTCGAGATGATGCTAATTTTATGATCGTTTGCTTAGTCCAATGGATGTGTTCACAACCTGTAACTAATCCACGTCAGAGTCTGGTGAAATCTTTCATTCGAGCTCTCGAGTATCCTCACCAGCTGAATCATACGCAACAAGAACGGTATTTTTCTGTTTTTAAATTCTATGTTAGTGCTGTTTGATTCAGTTCTGTAGCATATGGTTTTTGAATTTGACAATTTTAAATTTGATGAAAGTGCAAAATTTTTTTTGTAATTAAAGTATGCTAATATTCAAGCATGGTGTTGACATCAGCTACTTGTCGCCGCACATTAGATGACCTTTCCATTTGTGATCGCTTGCGTGATCCGAGATTTACATGGATCATAAATTGTGCGAAGAGAAAACTGCCTACTGTACCATTTACATTACCAGCTACGAACGCTCAGGTTTTCTGTCCTTCGTAAATTTATTTTAATCTCGCAGAAATTGCTTAAAATTTCCCTTTCACCTAAGCACATCATTTATAGTCATCGGATGCAGAAATGTTGAAACAGGCATTTACTTATGCTCGACAACAAGCATGGGGATCTCCCAATGTTTTGCAACTCGTTGACAGATGTAACAAGGCTGGTGTTGTTGAGAACTGGTGCATGGTTGGTATTTCCATTTCAGTTAACAAAAAAATTTAGAAAATAAATACAAAAATATATTCTTCGTTTTTTCAAGCTGATAAAATTCATCCATTTTTACTTGTTGCATTGTCGTCTTGTGTTCATGTTTTAAAGGCTGTAGTCATTTTTGTTACTTATGCACTCATAATCAGCAAATATTACTCTAGTCCCGAAATCTAGTAATTGAATATGTAACAGTTGTTATGATTGATTTCTTTAATACAGTGCTGCAAAGGTTAACTTATTCAGGTTTGGTTAAATGCGATGCTAAAGTTGTCGACAAATGATGAAATGTTGTGTGCTAGTGAATTATGTCTTGCTGCTGGTATTATGTCACCGGTGCCTTGCATGCTGAGTTTTGCTCGAAGCATCACTGAATATATCTTTGAACAGAACGTCGATTTTGGTGAAAGATTTTGCTAAAATTCTTATTTCTTCCCAAAATTTGTACTTATTTTCGTAATTTTTAGGTTGCGTAGAGCCAAAAGCATTAGTGTCTGCACGATTCCTTGTGCACTGTTTGCAACTTGCTATGCATGCGTACTGGAGGCAGCAGAAAGAACGACAAACACGAATTGTAAGAGGCGATTGCGCAGAAAGGAAAAGAAGTTGGTGCTTTGTCATAAGACTTACATTCGGTTTTGTTCGACCCTTATCTATCGTAGATCTTCAGATTTTATCTCCAAACTTGCTTTAGGAGGTTAGGTTTTTTTTTTTTTTTTTTTTTTTTTTTTAGGTGATGATGATGACGATGCCGAAGCCGACCAGGGAAATCCTGTTGAACGTTCTGTTTTAGTGATTTTTGAAAAATTTGTTCGAGAGACTAGAGCTGGACATTTGAAGGTAAATTTAATATAGTTTTAAACGGATCTAAAAAAGTCAAGAAGAGATCGCTACACATGATGACCGAGAAATTGTGAGGGTTTTTGATAAATGTTTTGTTTTGAAAAGATAAGAATTTACTGTTTAATCTTGAAGTTTTCTGCAAATCTAACAATAATTCTTTACCCACAACCGGATATATATATGTATATATATAATCTTCTTTGAGGTTATGTTATGCATAATTTGACAAGGCGGAATTATTCGTTATTTGTTATAGAGTACAATCACATTTATATATCACTTTGTGGTATCGCTTGCTACTGCACCACAGAATGCAGCTACTCGAAGAATAATTGAACTTCTGCCGCATGATCTGGTTTGTAAATTTAGATTTAAACTAAAAGACTAGTTAGCAAATTCAAGCATGCTATCTTGAATTATTTCATTCCAGCAAGTTCTTTCATAAATCATTACTATACCAGATATTTTTTCTAGATGTTAAATTTGGCTCGTCTTGATCCGCAGACTTTCAATTTGGATCTCTATTTGCCACTCATAAATTTGTGTGATGTTACCAGTACAAAGAGAGCGCTTCAATTTACATGTCTTTTAAGAAAACTTGGTGGTTTTTAAAATATATATTATTTTATTGTTAATTTGATTCTGGATTATTTTCTTGTTAGTTTGGTTTTGGAAGCATTACTTCATTTTTGAGCCGTAACAAAATATCAAACTCTACTTTGCTCCATCTGTTAAATTATTTTGTTTGAAGCCGCTCCACAATCAGATTTGTGGGAGTTGCTATGAATTGCAGATTATTCATATATTTAAAATTTATGTGTTTTACTCCTACATATTAAATTTATCAGCAGCTAAAATTATTTATGCATTTCGGGATTAGTCCGATTCCCAACCGACACTTCCCACATTCCAAACTTGTTTTCAGATCCTAATTCCGGAATTCTGATTTCTCGATGTCCAAAATGAATTTGATGAAATCGGAAATTTACTAGAATTTGATGAAAAATCGAAAAACTTAGTAATATGGCGTAAGTTAATTACATAAACCGCCTGCAAAGAAACGCTTCTTATGGTGACTCAATAGAACAACCCATTACGCAAACCCGATCGCAACAGATGTAAGACTAATGAGGGCGTAATGGGTTGCCGAAGTGAATGACTTTCTCAGCGTGTCGCTGGGTCACACCTTCCCCAAAATCCACCCGCTACCTGCGGCGGGGAACGGCGCAATTGTCAGTCCCCAAACGCAAAAATTATGCTGTTGGCGAGTCCCAACTCGAGACTGCCACACGGGTCAGTCACTGCCCACAAGTGCAATGGGCCGACCTCACCGTGGAGTACTCGCCTTCTTGATCGCGAGTCACCTCCCAGCCAAGTAAGTTTAACCAACAACCGCAAACTTGTCATCATTTTTCCCTGCTCACCATTCCCGACGGGATACTCTCTTTGCAAATTGCTATTCCTCTTTCTTTCTCTGCTGACATCAATATCTGTTTACTCTTTCTCTTTCTCTTCTCCCTTACATTATTACATCTTCAAATAATGTTTTGCTGATGTGTAATGTTGTTGTAAATATGCGCTTTCTCGATTATCAGAAAAAGGTGGCCTGTTTAGAAAGTAATCTATTTTGTGAAAAGAAAAAGATGCGACAATGGTGACAAACATGATTTGAGGACATTTATTAGTGTTTGTCAAGCTAACTTCCCTCAATTTTGTGACTGTCAACTTATTCCCTTAGTATATCTCATAAGTGTAAGTGTCAATAAAGGCTAATTTCTATCTTTGCTCTTATCGAATGTGTCAAATTCTTAAGTTGGCTAGCAGTTGGTTATTTCTTTTGATGAAAAGGTCAAAAATTATTGTCAATTGCTACTGTCTTCAATCGACATTCTGCTAACCATCAATTTTCGAACGATTTATTGCTGTGTCACAAGTGGTACTTATTCAACAGTAATAGTAAATAAAAGGATTGTCCGTAACCTTAACGAAAGTCTCACTTAAAATATAGCAAACAAAGAATTTTCGGATATGGCCGTAAAATACGTGAAATACGTGTTATTCTATTGTAAGTGCAAGGAAATGATGCATGCAGTGATAAAGGATGCAATTTTTTCATATCTAGATTTTGCTCTTTTACTGCTCAATTAATTATTAAATATTAATTATAAAATTAATTTTAGCCATTTTGCTCATTCTGCTTCGATGGTGGTTAACCACGAGTAATTTAAAAGTGGAACTGTTACAGTTAATTCATTCATTCATTCAATGGCTTGAGTTTACAGGAATAAATTTAAAATGTATGATCTTCATTTGCTTCTTTAACATTCTTCTTTGATCCTTTATTACCCTATTACCTTGATCCTGCACTACCCTGTTACCTTGATCCTCTACTACCCTGTTATTGAACACTGAATTTAGTCTTAAAGAAACACTGTCGGAAAATGATCATTCGAAAAATTCTCAGAATTTTGATTTTTTCATGCATAAATTTTGCTCTTTTACTGCTCAACATATTTGTTACATTTCACTCTCTAATCAATTAGCAAATCAATCAAAATATCAAATATTAATAAAATTGTTATGATTGAGCAGTAATCTTGATTATTTGTTTACTTCTGATTTAAATTGAAATGCAATTTGACTAAAAAATATCACGATTGGAATGATTGATATTATTTGTGAAATAGATGTACAATAAAATTAGTATTGAATTAATGACCATAAAAACAATGACTGATAAGAGTTACATACCTAACTTAACTCAAAAAAAAAAAAGGAAAACAACAACAACAATGGATCCTATTTAGTACCTAAATAATTCCTACTTTTATTCATACAAACTGTGTAATAATTAGCGAGCAAAATGATTTACAGACAAAATATTTCACAATTGAAATGAAAATGTATTAGATGTATTCTTGAAAGCAATCAAACTTCCATAAAGTATATCAAGTCTGCGTCTTTGCAACAGATGTTCATTTTACAGGTGTCATTCAAATTTTGTTCAAAATGTCCTTGTCATATAATTAATGACACATTTTAGTGGTTACTGAAGATTACTGAAGATAAATCGATTGCAGGTAAAAGATGGCAGAATGCATGGAAATAAAAGTTTAACTTTCATTAAGAAGCTTTAAATTAGTTAGGAAGGATGATGCAATTTAATTGAAATGAGCCATTTTGAAAAGCATTCCAGAAAATAGCAAAGTGCATCGTTTTCTTTTTTTTTTTTTTTTTTTCTTTGCTTTTTCAGATTTCAATATAATTCATGACAGTTTGTAATAGAATAAATAGATTTGCAGTGAAATCAATGCAGAAAGACAGAGAAATCAATGGGAATTGAAAAGAATTGCGAGTCATTAAAACAAAAAAGAAAAGAAAAGAAAAAAAAAATGAGACAGAAGATTTTCTAATATTTTTACATGTTGGAAAAGAAGAAAAAAAAATGCTAGGCTTTCCGGATTTTCTTTCGGAATCATTTCTATTCACCGACAATATTGGATGACATTGAGCTATCTTGGTCCAAAAAAGTACTGATGTGCAGAGTAAGCGGGAACTGGACAATTTTGATTGTAAGCAGTTGCTGCAGCAGCAGCCTGATAGCTATTATAGGTATTGTTATATGCTACTGCAGCACTGCTATCCAACATCTGTTGGTAATATTGATGACTGCTGTAGAAATATGAATTTAAATCCTGAGGATGTGGATAAGGCGGTGGTGGAAGTGTCATTTGATGTAATGACAGTGATGTAGTTGAGGTGGTTGACAATGATGAAGCTGTCACTGATGCAGTCGGGAATGTCTGTAAATAGCAAAGATTAGTTAATAATAAGTAGGAACTGAAAAGCTACTTTATGATTTCAATTAATTATTCAATATTAAATCTGTAACTGTTACCATTCAATCATTATCATACATTAATTGAGGTTGTTGTATTGATGAGCTATCATGTGACATAATAATTTAACTTATACAATTTGTGCCACTATTTTGACATAAATTCTCAAACTAGAAATTAAATTTTCCATCCTTTGTATTTATCGCCATCTAAGCTGGACATTGTGACAGCAAAGCAATCGTAAATAAATGATCATGAAAATCTTAATTATTTACCGGATTTTCTATGCAACCTGACCATAAGTTTTCGGTCACTTCAGAACTCCTTGATAATGAACGATTAGTGGAAGATGAAGCTTGTTCTCTATCGTCTACCTTTTCCGTCTTTATTGAATTTCTTAAATTGACAGGTAAACTTTTTGAATTTTTTGAGCTGAAATTACAAAATGTTTTATTAATGAAAATGCATGTCAAATTCTTAAGAAATAGGTAACACTCAGAAGAATATAAGATCAACCAATAACAATGTCCTTAAAAAATTATACTCCAGCTACAAGTTGCTTACTTAGTTTCAGGTTCACTAGCAAATTGTCCTGTGGATTTTGGTGACACTGTGTATTCTTTTGTTCCATCTGAAACTTCCTTCATTGGACTATCCATGGAATCTGCATGAACATTATTCAGGCTAGCAGCATTTGTAGTACCACTTGAAGATGAGCTAGCATCCGTAACTACCTGTGGTCCTTTCGACTTCTGTCTCTCCTGTTGTCGTTGCTTAGCACGTCGATTCTTAAACCACACCTGGTTTGCAATAAAAAAGATAGCATATTGTTAGTTTATGACATTAGCTTCGATTATTTTCCCATAAACATTATTTAATCAAAGCTTTTAATCAAAATTGAAATGTCAAATTATTCTTCTCTAAACTTAACAACCGAAACGAGAAATCATGAAAGAATAAAATAAAGTCTCCTATTTGCGAATTTATTATGATCAAAATTTCATTACAGTATCTGCTACATATGACAAACTGTAGTATGATATTTATTTGTGTGTCATACCCGCATCAGAAACTATTTTTGGTATGTCAAATTATTAGCTGTTGCTATATTTGACAAAGCTCACAAAAAGAATGATTGGCAAGTATGGCAAATGCTCGCCAGAAGTTATTTATTTCTTTTTTTTTTTCGGTGTTTATTCCCGATGACTTTTGAATGAGTGATATTATTTTGCTTTATTATTTTCATAAAGATTCCGCTTTTTTTTAAAAGGAAATTATGCATCATTTTTTAGGGATCATTTTTGAGTAGTAATATAAGTAGAAGTATTAGGTAAATCAAAGAGTGGAAATTAAAACCTGAATTCGACTTTCTTGCAATTGTATTTGCTCAGCAATTTTTTCTCTAGTAAATACATCCGGATAATGCGTTGTAGCAAACAAATTTTCCAAAATTTCCAATTGTTGCCTGTTAAATGTTGTTCTTTCTCGTCGATTTTTTCTTGGAATCATTCCTGAAATCCAAAAAAAAAAAGAAAAATAATTTATTATAAGCAACAAAATTTTTGAAAATGAATAAAATAATTTAAAAAAAAAAATGATAATAATAAATGAACCATTTGAATAGCTATTAGTAAACATTCCCATTGGTGCCATTGGGTGTATCGGTGAATAGCCAAAGGTTGGTGTAGTGTTTGTGGTACCGGAAGGACATGATAAATGAGCATATGGATTAAATGGTACCGCACCATATACCATTTGATCTTTAGCAATTTA